TGCACTTCCCGTGATCTGCAAGTCTCAAAGAAATGCCTGGATGAATTCGGAATTCTTCGCCGAGTGGTTTAAGAAAAACTTTGTGCCATCTGTAAAAAGTCACCAACGCTCACAAAACATCCGTTCTCCAAAAGCTTTGCTGTATAGACATCTGCTCATCCAGATGAGCTTAGCAGCCGCGATGGTTCGGTAACCTGCCTGTTTCTTCCTCCGAACACGACATCCCTGATTCAGTCAATGGATCAAAGAGTCCTGCAAGCGATGAGGAATCGATACAAGAGAAAACTTCTTCAGAAAGTAATTTGCAGTCAAGACATTGATCAAACTCAAAGCACTAAGGACATCGTTAAGCTTCATACTGTGAAAGATGCGCTTTATATGCTTTCAGATGCTTGGTACGAAGGAAGCCCGGAATCTATTTGCAAGGCTTACGATAAACTGAGGATTTATTCGAACAACAGCGAGTCAAATTCACAGCCCGAATTCAGAAAGGATAATATCGCTGACTCCATGGTCGAAATGTTGGAAAATGTATAGCAACTTGACAATGAGGAAATGGCTAATGCTCGCGATGTGGAAGACTGGCTTAATCTGGAAAACGAGCTCCCGACTTCACCGCAAATGTCTGATGAAGAGATGTTAGCCACCGTTGTCGGAGATTCGACGGAAAGCGAAAGTGTATGTAGCGATGAGGAAGCTGAGGACGAGGAAGACAAACTAGTATCGACTAAAAGGGCAACGCAATGTTTCAAAAAATACTTGTCGTGGATGGAATCACAGAACGGTGTTGACCCTGTGCAGTTTTAATGCAGCTAAGACAAATGATGGACTTCGCAATGCGATCAAGCTACAAGTCTTTGAAGCAAACAAATATGCTTGAACATTTTATACCTTTGGTAAATACCTGAACTGAAAGTTTTATTTGTAAATACATACAGGCTGAGTAGATTTCACAATTAAAATGATGTTTTCTTTGCAGTATACCTTTTGTTTACATTTCTATCTCATTAATATTCATATTGTCGATTATCCGGACTATTTATCGAGGTCCCTACGAGTCCAGATAAGGTTCGACTGTATTGCAAACATGTCAAATTCACAGAACACGCTGGAACCCTCTGCTTTTTTAATGACATGACCACTCACTGTGCATGAGTATTTGGATCACACAGCGTTTCTGGGAAACCAGGGAATAAAGACTTAATAAAAATCTTCTCGATATGATGAGTACTTGATATGCCACAAGGACGTGACTCGTTTAAAACGACACTCGTTCGAATTACATGTACTCGTTCGATTCGTGAAACGAGACTGGTGGGGAAAACGAAACTTGTTCGTGAAACGGACAAACGACACGTCCTTGTGGCATATCGAGTAGTCATAGGAGCCCACAATGGGCTCTTGGTAGTCATCATATCGAGACGATTTTTATCGAGTCTATATACTCGGGTTTCCCAGAAACGCTGAGTGGTCTGAGTATTTTTTCATGGCAAAAGCTGTCGCGAACACACCGACAAATTTCAGAACGGTTACACGAACCATACAATTTCTTCGTGACCAGTGGTTTCTGAAACATGATTAACTTAAATTACACTACAGCCAACTACCGACAACAATAATTACGATCACAAAGCGAAACATCAAATGGCAAAAGACAACGCAAAACGTACCTGACGGTTTGGATAGAAGGAGTACACGAGATGCAGCAAAGAAACGAGCATAGCACGACAAACTGCATAACATTACTGTACTTTTTGCGCCAAAATTTCAATATATGTATAGGGGACTGAACATAACATAAACCGTTGGCCTTAAATTTGTTGTAACAAAAGCAAATGAATAATACATCAATATAATACCAGCAGAAGATCTGACTAGAATGTCAAGCTCCTTTAGATCGTGAGACTACATTCTATACAAAGTGAGAGTACATACTAGGGCGGGGTAATGTAACGATAACCTTTGCCATCATTTTTACCGGCGTTGTTTTATTTTTCCACTGGCTGGACCCGTTGCCCCTCTGAGAAAAATTCTCTCCGTAGCAAGATCTCCTCAAAACATTTTTATTCCTTGTAATACAATTTAAACTTGGAAAAAAAAATATTACAAAACGAGGACTGCACTGGAGGTAACTTTCAATGCCAATTCATGCATGGTACTAACTCTTGCATATTACTTATTTGACTGCAGGACGAACTGAGGAAAATTTATGGAAAAAGAACAGAGAGAAATGTGGAAGTGATCTTTGGTTCTGAGGTGGGTATATATTGAGAGATGAAATGCAACATGCGCACAAGGCATGTGCCTATATCCCCGTCCCCAAGGGGACGGATGTGCACAGTCTAACAAAGGAGTGCCAGCTCTAGAGGGATGCTGAATTTTTTCAGCGCTAGTACATTTCTTGTAATATCCGCCGTGTAACTCAGTTTTTCTACCCCGTGATCTAATGTCTATTTCTTTTATAATAACTGGTCTAAAAGAAGCCCGTAACGAAACCAGGATTATTAAGATGCAAAAATCTGAATACTTTACTGAAAAAACTCTATGGTACACTGACCTAAAATAATCTGTAGAATACTAATCTAATGCCATCTGACCTGCTTAGCAAGCAATAGAAGAAAGTTAAGAAGAAGGTAAAGATATGCCTCAGTTAGGCTTTTTGAAATCCTTCGCAGTCCGGTTTTGGCTCATGTTTTGTGTATTTTCCTCGCTCCGAGCTCAGCTTTCGAAGCTCAATTTGAAGACAAGTCTAGCCTCTCAGAAAGGATAAATTACCGTCACTTTCTATGGTGTAATGACCCGATTAGTTCTTACCATCTAATTTACACTAGCGCAAAAACTCTACTCCATTTCAGAGAAATATCTGCCTCAGAAAAATAGAGAGCTATTAAAAGAACAGGCTTTTTTTGGACTCTTTGCCTGAGTCACGAACGTGCTACAGAAAGTCTAATGCCGCACAGATTTTAGTTTGTACTTCTTAACCATCTCCAATCAGTTGGAAAGCCCTGGTCTTTGCATGGAGAACATGCCGCTACGGAAGAAAAATTAATTATCATACGAGAAAAGAAAATCTGACTTACAGCTGCCGTTCTTGGCTTGGCAAAAACATGTGAACGCTGTCGGCTGTAAGCCTACATAAATATCTTCGTTTGCAGTTCCCAGAATGACGTTGCCCCATTTCACTCTATTATTTAGCTTCTACATTTTGGCTCAGCTTTGGTATAAGAACCTGCTACGTTCACAAGTGACGTGACGAAGTCAAAACAGTAGACTAGGAAAATAATAGTGACAAAACAAAGACAAACTTTACAGGTTCTTACACCGAAGTTAGCCTGACATTTTTTGTATGTTCAGCAGGATTCAGAGTCCAGTGAAGAAGAAGAAGGAATCAGCGAGGAGGAGTTCAAGAAGACAGAAGGATGGAAGCTGCTCAAGGAAGCCCTGGATGCACGCACTAATTGCTCAAAATCAGGAATCCACTGGGGGCCGGGAATCAAAAAATAAAACTACGTGGAAACCATGCACTTTTTACAGTTTTTATAAGCCTTGTTTACAGTCTTTTATTGCCTGTATAGACTCAAAGAGTACAATACATATATCTTTAAATCATTATTAAGCTTAGTTACTGAATATAGCAACTGTTGTTAATTAATGCATACACCCCGATTTACACACACATTGGCAAAAAAAAGATAGCTGAGATGAAATCGTCCTGTATTATTATTATTTTTTTCATTTTTAACGTAAATATAGATGAAACAAAAGTCAAGTGAGAACATTATTCAAACTTCTGAAAGCTTGCTATGGGGAAAGTGATAAATATACAATTCACAAATTAAAGTTCCTTAAAACTAGATTTTTATAGGTGCTTTCTCTTCATCTGATCAATCATTGGCTTTCATTAACAGCTTTAACCTTTCTGTCGGTGTTTAAGAGTCTTCCCTCGCGGATCTCTTCCTCTTCACTTGTATCTGAATCCTGATCAAAAGTGATGAATCTTCACTCAGTGAAACAAATAATATCTACCACCAACTATTGTTTTTAAGAGGAGAGGTACTCAAAATTAGGGAATTCTGTTGAGTTTTTAATGATTATTTCTACAAACTTCAACATTACACAGCAAGAGCCTTTTAATGACAAATCATTGGTACATAACAAGATGTAATGATTTCAAGATTTCCGAGCATCGCAATAATGAGACTTTCCCATGAATTGGGATTGTTATTGGTAAGATGAAAAGTAGCACAGGTTCATTGCTGTGGAGAACCCAGTGGCGGTGACTCCGTTTGCGCCATCTTTTATAAACATTTGACAGATAACTTTAAGAGTATCTAACTATATAGGCCCTTCACTCTTTATTGTTTTTAGTTTCACAATGAAAAACTTTCTTATCAATAGACAGTCCTTAAAAACAAGAAAAGAACAAAATAAGTTTTCTTGTTTCGTAGTAACAGCAAGTTTCTGTTCCACCCTTCACTATTAGCTTTTTAAGCATCCGTGGTCTGAAGGAAAAGCTTCATTTGTTTGAATTTTTTGTATTATTTTTGTTCTGTGAGGTTGTTTTTTGTTGCTTGAGACAATATCGATACGAGATAACCAAAAAAGTCGTACGAGGACACCTATTGGAACGCAGCAGGCATTACCACCCAAAGATGCTTGAAAAATTAACTATTGAAGTGTATCTTGTCAGAAAAAAGTCATGAACTCGAGAATTCTTATCTCTTCAATAAGCATATTTTGTTTAGCAACGAGCTTGAACTTTTTTCTCGATGTGGTTTGAAGATGTATGCACGCATTTCTTGCCTATGCTTTACCATTATGAGATAAACCTGTCAGCGGTATATCACCTGGTTTTTTGGTAAGTATGTCATGTATAAGGTGTAGTTTCTCAGCTGAGGAAACCTTCGTATCTTCTCCAATAAGCCTATGATCTTTCTACAGAGGCTTTTTCACTTTTCAGCGTTGAGTTAACTTCATTTTGCTCAACCGAATACGTGGGGATGGGAGTTCCAGCATTTTTCCGCTGGCTATCAAAGAAATACCCGTCGATCGTCGTCCATTGTGTAGAAGAAAAGGTGAGTCGATGGAAGGATTGATAGCCTAGCTTGTTGTTGATCTAACTACACGTGTTTGAGATTTACTCTTTGAGCCGGTATTTTGCGGTCTTTCTGCCCTGTTGCTATGATAGTCAATTAAATAGAATATTAATTCATTATGATCAATGTAGGAAGGCCGTTTAAATAGAGATCAGTGCCAACTGTTTGTCAAAGAAACACTTTAAAATTGAGATTTCTCATCGCGCGGACTCGGAAACAGTCCTCTTAAGATAGTGAAAGCACTTTCTCAAAGTGAGAAAGCTGACTTGATCGAGGATCAAAACTTGAGCACAGGGTTTTTTGTTCATTAATGAACGATTTTCTTAAATTAGGAAGTTTCTATATTGGATTGCTAATAAAGAACTAGGTTATGTTACAGTGTGCATGTATCTTATATACCTCTTCTAAAAGGACCAATTTCGCGTTTTTATTATTGATCAAAGTGGTAGGGAAAGGCAAAATAATAATTTGGTTTTATCAACTGAGGATAATGTATATTGGCCACTGTATAGAGATTCTAAAGCTGATTTTTCAACAGTTACCCCTTCATTGATTGCTCTGATGAAGGGCTAATACTTGAAATGTCAGTTTTAGAATCTATTTCCTGTGGCTAATTAACATTACCAACCAAGTTTATAAAACCAAATTATCTAGTAATACCCCCTTCACCAATGCAGGACCACAGTTTCTTTAGAAACTTGAAACGCTTATCCATTGAAGGAAAAATGATTGTATAGCACCATGGCACAGAAATTTTGGTACGCAAAATGAACATTTACCTTATTTTTTCACCATCCTAGGGATGTGAAGTTGATGGGGTCAGAGCCCCAGTGGACACAAGTTTACCAAACCCCAATGACTATGAATTTGATAACTTATACCTGGACATGAATGGAATCATTCATCCTTGTTGTCATCCTGAAAACAAGTAAGCAGCAATTTTTATATTTGTGTTATTTAAGCTAAGTGTGGCCTATTCTGTATGAGTACATCCTTGATTTGGGAGATTAGAGCAAATGGGAACAAGTCTTAATGTGATTTCTCTGTTGTATTGTATGGTTGTATTACTTCTCCTCCTCTTTCTTTCCTCCTGCATAACTATTGTTGTTACTGGTTAACCCTCTCTGTACTGTAGGTGTACTTTTTGCATACATTAAGTAAAAGAAAGAAACATTTTATAATTTATTTCCAGGCCAGCTCTAAAGAATGAAGATGAAATGATGGTGGCTATTTTTTAGTACATTGACATGTACTTTTTTAAAATTTATTTTTACCCCTGGTTGAAGAGATGCACTGTGTACATAACCTGTTTTACCCAAGGACACAACAAAATGACCTGGTCTCAAACCTAGACCTCTAGAACAGAAGCCTAGTGCACAGACCATTAAGCCACCACATCTCTTGCTCAGGGAACACTCTGTAAAATTTTACTCTTGGTTAATGTCGCAAATGGAGGCTAAGTGCCTGGGAGACCTGGGGGCTGAAACCACAATAGGAACTTGAGGCACCTGAACACCAGATTGGCCTGCCCAACCTGCAATCAAGCCACAAGCATCCTACACCAAGCTCCCTATGAGCACTGTCACACAAGAGCCAGATGGCTGAGTGGAGGAAAACATGAATAAAGAAATGAATCAAGAGATGAAAAAAAAATAATAACTAGAAATAAACCCTGCAGTTAGGGTTGGGGGGACAAAATGCCAAGATCCAAAATCTGCAAGGACAACAACACCACAACATAGAAGGGTGATTACAATGCGAGCACATGGTAGAACAACACATGCACTGATAAGGTATACCACTGGATAAGGACAGCCTCAAGGTCCCTATGACAAAAGTACTGCGCCAAACAGAATGCAACCAATGCTGCATGAATGCTAACAGCCAGTTAAGACATTTATTAAACACCTCAAAATGCTACTGACCATATTTGCTCTTAGTATGGCATATTCCATTTAACTATATTTAACATTCATTACCCACTACAGTCAATTTCTTCTTTTTTTTTCTTTTTCTTTTTTTCTTTCTTTTTTTTTTTAGAGAATCTTCTCTATAGTAAGACCCAGAAAGTTGCTTTCCATGGCCATTGATTGAGTGGTAAGAGGCACTTTGCTAGGATATTTATTAATCTGTTATAAAATATACATTTTTTTAATAAATATATTTTGCTTATTTATGATGATATTTATGCATGCTTGTCTTTAATTTTTTCATTACAGGCTCCAAGGGCAAAAATGAATCAGCAAAGATCTTGTCATTTCAGAGCATCTAAACCAAGTTAGTAATGAAACAGTAACCCAATTAGTGCAAATGTTTGCACACTACAGATGAAAACATAATGGCAGGAAATGCTAAATTTAACCTTTTTTAGGGAAAAAGCAGAGGAAATGGCAAGAATTCAAAATGAATTGATGGAAAAAGGTATTCAAAATGATACTTAAATGTATATTACTTTCTGTTCATGGCACTTATTTTTATGAGCAATGAACTTATCAAAATTGGAAATGATGTATCATCTCCAAAGTTGCTCATGATTGTCTGATCAGACAAGTGAGGTCATGTTTTCTATATTCCAAATGGAAAAGTTACCCCTCCCAGATGTTCAGACAGGCCAAGTTTCATGCAGTTTGGAATTGCACACTTACACATTTTATAACTTTCTTCTGTAGGAGCTCTTTTACCACCAGAAAAAAGAAAAACTGAACACTTTGACAGTAACTGTATTACACCAGGAAGTGTAATCGTGTAAAACTGGTTCTGGTTGTCCATTGTGGTGAAGTGCAATAGTCATAATTAGATCATTATCATTTGTCGTATTCAGTATTAAATAGTCATTTACCAATGTGGATTGAATTTGTCCACATACTGCTAGTCCTCTTCAGGCAATGAGGTTGGTGTGATTGTTGGCATGCTGTGATTAATGATTCTTAACCCTTCAACTCCTGTGAGTGACCAAGACAGAATTTCTCCTCACAATATCAAGCAGACAAGTGATGAGAATGAAGAAAAATATCAGTTAGGGTTTATAAGTTGATCCAATACCAAATTCTTCAAACTAACATCACAAGAACTGTATGACAGACAGCAAGGAGAATTAACAATGAGATCTTGGGAGTTAAAGGGTTAACAGATGTTATTGGTATATTTTGTATGTTACAAGGATGACATCTGTAAATCATGTCTTTTACCTGTGTATGAAATAACTGTAATTGTGAACAAAAAGGTTTAACCCTTTAACTCCTATGAGTGACCAAGACAGAATTTCTCCTAACAACATTAATACAGTGGCTAACAGACAAGTAATGAGAATGAAGGAAAATATAAACTAGAGATTATTAGTTGATCCAATACCAAATTCTCCAAACTAACATCATTTTAATTATATGGCAGACAGAAATGAGAATTACTAATGAGATCCTAGGAGTGAAAGGGTTATATCATTCCAAAGTAGGTGGTTTACAATGTTGTGCTTCACTCTATGATCCGAATAGGCTGATGCTTGGACATAAATGAGTAAATTTTCTCTGTTATGCTCTTGATTCTTTCATGATTCTAGTGGAAAACAGAGATGGCAGACTTGCTCACTAGATGTGTATAATTTATGGTCCTGAGTGAAGATTGGCAATTGTTTATAACTGGTTGATGTTAGACTATACTGTTATATCACTGTTATATCATGTACTTCAAATGTGTATTGGACTGAGAAAATTCTCTGAGTGCGAATTTTTCTTTGTTACAGGGAACAGAGTTCATGGCCAATTTGTCCGTATGTTTAAGATATTACATTGCTGATAGATTAAACAATGATCCTGGATGGAGAAATATAAAAGTAAGTACCTTGCACCTTAATGTAAGTTTTGATAGTTTTGTTCTCTTCTGGTGACTTCCAGTGACTTAGGAATTTTTCCTAATGATATGAATACATTTTTAAATAGTCAGGTGATGAGTGAGAAAGAAAGGAAAGTATCAAAGCAGGGTTATTGTTTGCTTGAACACTAGTTTCTCAGAACTTAAATAATTTAATCTCCATGGCAGAAGTGTATGGAATGATCATTGAGATTACATAAGTGTAAGAAGCACCAGAGAACCGTGAAGGAAAATTGACACAACACTGGGGTGACTCGCAAAAGAATCCTTTACCATTCAAAGGGAACAACAACTCTCTGAGGGCTAACTATGTCAAACAATTTTGTATGCAGCTTCAGCCTTGACCTTCTACTGTATACCCTAACATCACTTTGCATTTTCCCCATACGATTCTCTACACATTTTCTTTGGTGCTGAAAATTGCAGTTGCATCTCTTTTTTGTTTGTTTCAGCAAGTCCACATCCTGAGCCAAACACAAAGCACTGTTTGAATGGCGCTGACGGTGTGTGCATGTAAAATGCAAATCGTAATTGTCATTTTATTAAATTAATAATATCAGATAATTAGAGCTGACACAGTTGTTTGGTTTCTTTCAGCTGGTCTGATTATGCTGGGTGAGTATTTTGAAGAAATCCCACTTTGTTTTAAATGCTAATGTTGACAAAACAAGTTGATTTTCTTTCTCTCCTCAGCTTTTACGGTAACTTAGTGTCATTCGTCTGTTGGACCTAACTATACAGGTATCACATGATGACTTTTGATAGTAAATTAGTTACCTTACTGCGTAAAAGAGCTGTCAGTAACTGATGAAAATCTTAGGAAACGAGTAAAATGTAACAACGACAACAACAGCAATTTTTATTGTTTTAAGACTGATCTGCACAAGACCATAAATACGCCTAAAAATGACAACCACATCTGGCCGAGCTACAGAAGATTTCTCTTTTGACTAACAGAAAAAGCGATGAATTAATTAAAACATGCAACGTTTGTTTTTATCCACCTTTTACAAAACAGCTTTATTCATTGTCATTTAAAACAAACGCGGACGACAAAGTGCAAAGAATCGACCTAGAATACTAATATAAATTCTCAGATTATGTAAGAGCTGAAATTTGTTTCGTACAAAAGACCGAGAAAGATATTTTATCTTCTTACTGTCAGAGTTGAGCAGTTTAATATCCTGTCAATTTGTGACGACGGAGAACACCAAAAAAAAAAATACTAAAAGTAGGGATTACACTCTGGCGATAGACCAAATATGTGCAGTCTACATATCACTTCCTGGTACACGACCTCTATGTTATCTTTATTCCCTGAATCAGCGGCATCTATGCATTTCTTAGATATGCTAGAAAAGTTTTCAAACAGATCTGAACATCGCGCAAGGTTTCGCGTCAGTCGATCCGCCACTTGTACATCGTCGCTTTGCCCCAAATTTAGTTCGTCTGGAAGGAGCTGATTAACAGCACAATACTCTGCACATGCGGCGAGAAACGAGGTCTCTCCGTTTTCCGAACGATTACCACAGAACATCATGTTACAATTTTGACAGAGGTTTTTTTCGGAATTATATTTCTTTTTGTGAAATGCTTCAAATATCCAGTTCAGCCGATCTGGAATATTTAGAGGCTCGAAATGTACTATTGCTTTTCCGAGACTCTGTTTAAGATTGCTGATTCTATGAAACAAACAAATAGGCCTTAAGAAATGACTTACGGCTATTGAGGCCCCAATAAAAGACCTGCCTGTGTGTGATACCCTTGCTAAAACTTTGGGTTTGAAAATGTTTTTTCTTGAAAGTTTACTTAGGAGGGCTTTCACCATCGTCATTACACGGTTGGCATGGTCTGTGCTTCCTCTATCACCGCGACAATCCATAATGTCGCTGACCTGTAATATAAATAGAAACGAAGAACCATTAACTGTCACCTTTCTCTCTGCTGGCACGTTAATTTTTATTAGCTTCCTGCAACTGTAGGTAAAACCGAAAACTTTCACGCGTTCTACCTCTGAGCGAAACTTTTTCTTCTGGTGTTAACTTTTTGAAATTTTGTTGTAATTCTGAATTGCGATTTCCACTGATTGTATAGTCCCTTTTTTTATTTTCTTCATGTAACGGACTATCTAGATGCAGGACTTCTATGATACCAGCATTTGAGCTGAATCGGCCACTCGGTTAAAAAACTGTTTTACTTTAAGTCTGACTCCAGATATCAGGTCGTCTATGAACAAACCTGATTCTAAAGACAGTCCAAATGTTGGTCAGTCGTTCTTACTTGACTGTCTAAGAATCAGGCTATCTGCACGCCGATTTCGCTAAAATGGTGTAAATAAACGTAACATACCGTATTTCTTCACCTATAAGCCGAGCGATTTTTCAGTATTTGACACAAAAGTTTGGGAAATTTTTTCACAAGAAACGGGGTTCGGCTCATAGCCGAGGGTTTGGGATTCAAAAACAAGTACAAATTTAATGCTAATGCGAAATGACCGTACATTCCGTGACTGCAGCGCTCTCTGTGTGACATACTTTAAAATTGACATGATAACAACGTATTTCTGACCACCAATCAGATTATTTGCTTCCCACGCATTGAAAGACGATCTCACTCAACTCGGGAAAAACTCTTCTCATTACTGGGATACCTGTGGTAGCCCAGTCATGAAACGCCTTTGTTTGCGCAATAGTACCCAGTGGTCAATGGGCCCTCAACACTATGACAACTAACTGTGGTCCAATGAGGGTGAAAATGTTCACATGCTGATCACGTGTGTTATCTTGATGATGATTGACGTTGTCATGCACGGACAGGGCCGGGTCACATGACGAACCACGAGATTTTTGCTTATTAAAACGTTTTTGTCAGCCATTTTGTATTTGTTCTGGGGTTGTTGTTTTGGCGATGAAGGTGCCACGTTTTTGGTTTACGATTACCTGGAGCTTTATGGTGCAAACGCTCAAAAATACTTTCAGACGCATACACAAGTCGTATTGTTCGCGGCCAATCCACACTAAAAGATGTTATTGAGCGGTATTTTTGGAACGGACTGAGTCGCGAACGCTTGGAAGCCATGAAAGCCTTGTATGCCTTGAAAGCCATGAAAGCCTTGTATGCCTTGTATGTCAAGCATGTCAATGTCTTAGTTGAAAAACGTACATTTGTTGAAAAAATCTTAAATCTGAAACCAAACTGCATATACTCTATGGAATCTATTGAACAACACTACTACCGTGAGATTGAAGAACAAAACTCTAATGGATGCAAACTGCTTTTGAAGAAAGACAGCATGTTGGACTCAATTGATGCCAAGGAACGTAGTTACGATAACAGTACGAATGGTATTGATTTCACGATCACAAAGGTGAATCTTATGTTAGTTTTCATTGTAGTTGTATGGATATTCTTTTTTTAATAAATACGTTATCCAAAATCCTGCGTTTTTTGTGTACAATGTTTTTATGTTATTTACTGTTTACGCAATTGTCCTGTGGGCTAATTACTTAAAATGCAGTCCGTTCTAAGGCGCCAAATGGGGGGTCATAGTCCCAGGCGTTCCTTGCGTAAACCGTGGAAACTGGGGATGAGAGTCCAGCAACTTATATGAACGCTCTTCCTAAACAACAAAAATTTGCGGAATGCTGTGTGTTATGAAGTCCGCCTTCCAAAGATTCCTGTGTTATGCGCCCATCTCACATACAAATGCACACGCTGTTCGTGGTAGGCCCACACTAAATGATGTCGAGCGTTTTCGGAATGGGCCGGTCCACGAACTCACTAGCTTGAAAGCTAGCCAAATGTGCAAAGTTCACACTAGTTCTCACGAGATAACAAATGAGCCATATGTGAGTTCAAACTTCGAAAATACTGGCAAAACTGTGACAGCTGATTTAACAACAAACTATGATGCTGAGATGAATACCTCACTTGCTGAAAAAATCAAGAATGTCCGTGAATACAACTTTGAAGATGGCGCTAACGACAGCGAATTGGAAGAGGATACTGACATAAGCAACTTGAATAGTAAGGTTGAATATCTAAGCTTGGTAAAATTTCCGTACAGCCCCATACTATTGTTAAACAAATCTGTTTTCCCAATGGCAATGTATTGTATTTGTTATTTTTTGCTCTGTTCAAGAACTGAATGCATAATGTAGTATGGGGCTGTGCGGAAATTTTACCTAGAGTTGTATGTTCTATGTATAAGACATGATGAATACTCTTGATGATTGTGATCTACTAGAAAAAGTTGTCAATATGACCAATGTACATGAACATAATGATGTTACAGTGTCAATAAAAGTACAACAATTCGGATCTCGTTGTGCAAAGTCTATATATTATAATCGTACTCGTGTTGTGTGTGAATGCCATGGCTATAAACGTGATCGTGAACCAAGCAGAGTACCAGTGAGGATGTTAAAACGTGTCTCTAAGAAAATTAGAAAACTGCAGAGTTATGTACGGAGGCGTTTAAGTAAAAACATATCAAAGTTAACGAAATTCCATGATCTTATTAAAAATAATGCAACATGAAAAAAAAGTACATATAAAAAAAGAATCGGGTTTGTACAAGAAATGAGAAGGAAACCAATTTTTGGAACAAGAAACGTTAGCTCTTCAATGAGATATGTCTACAATTCAAGTAGAGATAAACATGGAAAGAAATATCTCAAATACTCAAGGTTCTTTTTGTGTAATTTCCCATATAGTGAGTACAAGGGTGTAATTCACAGAGGCAATTGTACAAAGAACAAGCTCTATAATGATATAGAGAAAACCTTGTTCCTTGTGGGCACCTTGTGGATCCCAGGAAAACAATAAAAGCATCATATAGTCAAGGGGATGTTGTTGTATTTGGACAAAACGCTGGGCAACAATGTGTTGCAATGAGTTTATGTGCATTAATATATCACAATATGACAGGAATAGGTAATCCTGATGTATTGAAACAAATAATACATATTGGAAGTAAATTATATAGCAGTTTGTCATAATTATCAAGACAGGCATTTTTACTGCTAGCAGATTTACCATCAATGCTTACAGTACGAGAGGAAGATTTCCAGCTAGAATACAGTGAAAGTTATTGGTAATGTCCATGTTGAGCCTACCATTGAGGGATATCAATACTGTATGTGCCTGAAAAGAGCTTTTCAGTCATTGATGTCAGAACAATATAGGTCATATATTTTAACAGTTGGATGTATTGTTATGGGTATTAGTTACTGTGCTGATAATGGCCATTTTTAAGTGTTTGACTCGCATGCTAGAGATGTTTATGGTGAAAGTCACTCTCGAGGGACGTGGTCTATTAGATATATCATCTACAAACAACCTAGTGCATCACTTTCAAAGTTTATATGGAGCAACTGATCTGTATGGACTAAAATGTTGACGAATTACAAAATATGATGTGGCAATAAGCAACAACGTAAGAGAGGTATGAAAGAGATATCAGGTCAACACAAGTGTTCAAAGACCACTGTTTTGCAGTAGTTCTTTATTCTACATTACTCAATCATTTCACCTTGTAGTTACTGGAACTCAAATAACTTATATGCAATTATTGAAAATGGATCTCAGCCTAGCAATACAATGCAGAGTAAGCACTGCTTAACATCTGTTACCCTGCCTGACAGTTTTACAATTTTTGGCACTAACATAAATGTACACCTTAATGAAGTAAGTCACAGAGAATTAAGTAATTTAACTAAAAGCCGAATATCTTTAAAGACCTTGATTTTAAGGAACCCCACTGGGAAAACAGGATTTTTAGTGTGCATTTCAAGTTACTATATAGCTTGTGTTTATCAACAAAATACAAAAGTAAAGCAATTGTTTTCTCTTCTGACATATGAAGACAGTCATTCACCTGCAATGAAACAGACAATACACATTTGTGGTGTGGATAATCTAGTAGAGGAAATTTGTATTATTCAAAATAAACAAGAATGTCAGACTTCAGAATATGATATACAATTTATTTGCTGTTCATGTAATATTACTGAAATTGGAAGAAAACACATCATGAGAAAACACAGAAAAAAACACATGTATGACAGCATGGAACCAATTGGTGTATTCAGTTTTATTTTCTGTATTGCCAGCTATTCAATCTTTTTCAGCCCAGCTGCTTGGCAAAGCAGTGGCCCTAACAATAATCATTGGAGATTTTATCTTAACTTGAGCATCCCATGAGCAAAATAATAGACTGAGAAACATGTTTCATACATTTGTACAAGGCCATACAGATCAATGAGTGGGATAACATCATGATTATTAATGATTGGAAAAAATTAACAAGTTTCTGGCCGAAACAAATTTTGGCAGTTGTGTTAATGTGTATGTACTGATGCTTTCAGTGTTAATTACTTTGCAAATAAAGCAAGTTACCTAAAGTATCAAACTTAAACAAAGTATTCTTTTGGCAGAGAGGCCTGTGGTTCTGGGCTGAGGTGTTCTGTAAGTATTTACTCTTTGTGGATAATCTAGTGGAGGAAATTAATAATATTATTCAAAATAAACAGGAATGCAGACTATGGAATTTGATATACAATTTATCTGCTGTTCATGTAAAATTACTGAGATTTAATGGAAACACATCATGGGAAAACACAAAAAAAACCATGTATGACAGCATGGAACCTGTTGCCAAAAAGAGGTTTCTAGAAGACATTAAAAGAAAACATTCAACTATGGATGCTAGAAAGAAGACGAATTACTTTCTCAACCCAATGAGAAATTAGTGAAAGGCAAATCGGTTGAATTGTCTATTAACCAGTTTAAGAGGAAAATAAGAGAGGGCCCTTATCTTATATGTACTGTCTGTAATCGAATACTTTATAAGAAATAAATAATAACATGCATAAACGAGAAGTACCCTTGCCAAACGTATTTCAATATTCAACAGTCATTTTATGGAAAACAGTGTATATGCAACAGATGTCACTCAAAGGTCATAAAAGGAAAATTACCATGTCAGGCTGTAGTGAATAATATGTATGAGGATGAAATACCCACAGAACTATCCTCGTTAGAAAAAACTAGAACAAATACGAATAGCTCGACGAATAGTATTTGAGAAGATTGGGGTCATACATAAAGGAAAACAGAGAAAAATTAAGGGTGCAATATGCAATGTACCTGTAGAATGTGATCAGACATGTAATAAACTCCCTCATCAACCTGATAGATCTTGTATAATAATACTTAAGCTTATAAGAAAGTTACAATCTCGAGGACATGTTTATTTTCAAGCATCACGAGCAGAGTTAATACAACAAGTTCTTAACTGGCTCAAAGTACATAATCCATTGTACAGAGATATACTAGTTGATATTAACAATATTGATAGCAACCTCACAACTTTACAAAATGATGCAGACGATAATGATACACATCAACAAGGTACATGAAACAATGTAACAACAGATAGTGATCCTGCTTTGGAGTTTGATGCAAGAGAAAATGATAAATTAAATAGTAATGAAAAAGAAAACCTTAAATGAATATAGAGCCCCAGTATGCAAGACATGCTTAGAGTCAATTACACCAAACTATCCAGAGGTGAATGCTCAAGTAAAACGCTCGATACGAAGCCCGAGTGAACGTTCCTCGAGCGTCTATTTTCTACGTAAAGCTGTTGATTTCTCCAACAAAAGCTGCCGTGATAGCTTCGATGAATGTAACGTCTTTAAGGAAGCTACTCAGTTATCCGTTATTGTATATGATAATAAGCTTAATAATGAAGCATTTTCAATAAATACAGTCTGTAACTGTAGATCTCGATACGACAAATGTGTTTATTTTAATCGCCCTATGGTATTCGTGTTTGTAATCGTGATCCCAGCAAAATACCATAGAAAAGAATTTTTCCTATTTTGAAGAAATCCTGGAAGGTAAGACGTTTACTTCGAACCTACATCAGAAAAAGCATACCGAAGTCTTCCCGAATGCCTCTTTTTACAGATAAAGCTCTTGAAAAATATATGCACTTGGAATCCGATGTGAGAATTAAGGAACAACGAAATATCCCCCTCTGCAGTTAGGAGAAAATATCGAAAGTCTAACAAATACAGGATACTGAAAATGCAGAACCAATATCTACAAGTAATAAAAAGTTCAAAGCCAAAGCAGTCGAATGTACGGAGGTCTAATTCAGTACTAAATGTAATATATAAAGATCTGAATCAAAGGGTAAATCACTTTAAGTCTAAGCTGTCTGGGGATATAGAGACAAACTCTGGTCCTGTTATTAATTCTACTAAACCAGTTCAAGCTCCTTTCAGTCAAGACAATGTGGCAAGGTTTGGGTTAAATGCTGGTACACAGTGTGTAGGGGGAATGGTACAGTATCCTCAATGGACTTAGAAAATATCATGAACGTTGATAATGAATTGTATTCTGGTCTATCTAGTCTATCCAGGCAATCCTAGTTACTGTTAACAGAAGTACCTGAAATGACAATAGTGTTTAATATTAATTATCAGCTTCAATATAGTCCAAGCTACACTTGTACTATACATGGTACTTGTGAAGTAAAAGATTTCAATTATCGTATCTAATTTGCTAATGCTATGCAGGCTTTGTTAGGACGAAATTATAATTCCTTTTTTTAACAATCCTTAGTACTACAGTAGGTGTTTTACTGTAATTGTGATGGTAAGTTTAAGATATTTGATTCTCATGGTAGAGATTCATATGGTACACCCCATCCTCAAGGAACTTGTGTAAATGTCAGAAGTTAACACCTTAAATGAGCTGATAAACTATTTTCAAGGTCTTTATCAAAATCCAAATGTTTTATTTGAACTCAAAGGTGTACATATCAATGAAAAACAATGTGATATGACAGATATTTCTGATCAACAGTTGTCAGCTGTCCCCCTCGAAGCAAATCATGTAGATGCTGAAATTACAACCATTCATATTCCCTGTTGTGCCACATCTTTTTATAACATTTGTTTTTCCACTATCAAATAGTATGGGTATAGGAATTCACAGACTCTAGATAGAATCACTGACCATGCAAACGAGTTTTACAAAGAAAAAGTCATGGTGATAACTATCCACTGACTATTAACAATTTCCCAAGGACACTTCAAATATATGATGCAGATATTGATATTGCCTTTAATTTGGAGAAATAAGGCAAATTATTACTTCAGCAGTTTATCACAGAATACTAAGGATAATACTAGGTTTTTAATGTGGATTTCAAATCATTGCTTCTGCTGTATTTTTCAGCACAATAATATGAAAACAAAAGCAAAAAGTGTTCAGTACTTTATTATAAGATTCAGTCCTAATGGCACACTTGATATATTTGAAAAAATGAATGACATAGTTATTCTAATTCAGTTATTAGGGGATATTGTAAAAAAACAATTCCAGAGTAAAGATGTAGAATATTGTATTAATTAAAATGTATGTGTTGTTCAACTAATTTGTCAAATGGTGGAAGACAAAATGTAATGGCAAAACACAAGTCTCATAGTCAGAAAGAATTACATGCAAAAAGGAAAAAAAAAAGCTGGAACAAGTCAGTGGATCCTGCAGAAAAAGAAAAGCTTTTATCTCACAGAGCTGAATGGTATAGATCACTGGATCCTAAAGAAAAAGAAAAGCTTTTTTTCAAATCAACAGCGTGGTAGAAATCACTTGATTCTGCGGAAAAACAAAATCTTTTATCTAGCAGAGCAATTTGGTATAAATCACTGGATACTGCACAAAAGCAAAAGAGAGCAGAATGGTTTAACTTGCTTGATTCTGCACAAAAACAAAAAAGAGCAGAATGGTACAAGTCATTGAATCCTGAAGAAAAAGAAAACCTTTTGTCTGGCAGAGCAGAATGGTATAAAACACTGGATCCTGCAGACAAAGATAAGATTATATCAAAAGTCCAAGCTAATAAAGAAGCCTATAGAAACTCATTTCAACATGACTTAGATCATAAGATCACACCTTTTCAATCTAAGATTAGGGAAGGTCCATATTATATTTTCTCTGTTTGTAATAGAACACTACACAGAATAACTGTTATCCAGTTAAAAAACAAATGTACAATACTCAGCAAGCACTATTTACTGACATTAAGTCATTTGATGAAAATCAGTACATTTGTACTGTCAATGTCAAGCTGTATGTAACAAATTACGTGTTGATGAACTGCCACCAGAGTTGTCCATTCTAGACAAGCTTGAACAGGTATACCACAGAGAATAGTGTTTGAAAAATTAAGTCATGCCCAAAGGTCAACAAAGAAAGATTAAAGGTGCAATCTGTAATATACCAGTTGAATGTGATCAAACATTCAATATATTACCACGTCCCCACTGTTGTGTTTCTGTAATCGTGTAGTAGTATTTACATCTTCACTTCTTCGTTTTTTTTTTCTTTTGTTTTTATTCTCATTCATTAGCTTTTGTGTTCATTGAGCCATTTCCCAATTTTTCCGTGAGGTTCGCTCACTCAAATGGCCGGTTATAATCAAGAATTTCGCTCTCGGCTTATAGCCGATGGTTTTCCTTTTTCTTTTGGATAACACGAGTCTGTTGGAAGGTCTCTAACTTTTAGGGTCTCGTCTTATAGTTGAAGAAATACGGTAGATATTACTAGAGGAGGGTCACAATTTTCAGCGAAATTCCGCTCAAGAACAGTGGAAATAGTTCCGAGTTTTTTTACTCTAATTAGAAAGACAATCTTGAGCGGCATCTTATACTGAATTCTATAATTCAGCTCGTAGTTCGGTTTTTCCTTTCCATAACATTCCTGCAAACCATTACCTTTGGTGTCTGCCACAGCGAGGTTAGATAAACAGCCAGCCAAGGCATGTTACAGCCTGACTCGATGCAAATGACAATGGATGAAAACTCAGAAACAAAACACACACACACACATATGCCGCTTATGTACTTACCATTTCCACGAGTTTGCTTCCTGGGTCGACCACGTGATTTTGGTCTGGTAGTTTATCCATCTCTTCATTTGTCAGGCCGCCCCAAGCACCCACCTCATTGAGGAGTTTGTCGCTATTTTGAAGCTCATCAGCAATTCCTAAATGAAACACCAAGTGCACTTTTAAACTCCAGTAGATGTCTCTAAAATATCCTCTCAGTCCCTCGGGTAATTCTTTAGGGGATGTTTTTATCTTGAATTCTTTAGCAAGCGGTATTAATATCTCTTCACACATTTCCTCGACGTCATCCTCTATCCTTTCCTGTAAGGTTACAATTCCTCCTGCAACTCGGTTTTTTATGTACTCAACCTCCATTATGATACAAGAGGGATCCTCGAGAGTCAAACTGTGCCAAAAACCTCAAAGCGTTTTGAAGCAAAGCAAGAATATATGTAGATTAGAATTATTCACTTTAAGGCAGGCGTTCACCCCCCGTCAGTTCTAGGCATGCTAAGAAATTTTACGCCTCAATAAATGAAGAAGGGCTCCTAACTTAGTTCAGGAACGCGCCTTAAGTCGAAGAACGAAAAATCTGCTCCAATGAGTGGGAACGAAAGCCGGAAGTCTTAGTCGGCAAGAAGTCACAGGCTGCAGCAAAACGCCTGCTTTTTTTCTCAGTTTTACTTGAAGCTATCATTATTCTCAGATTATTCAAAGCTATGAAAATAAGATCACACAAAAGATAGCCTTAATATTTGGCCATAAAAGGCATAACCTTTTGTCTAGCTGTTACCCGATATAATGTTGCGTTATGAGATGCCCTAGTCAATCAATCAATCAATCAATCAATCAATCAATCTATCAATAGATATGACGAGGAACAGAAAACTTTATGGAAATCTTTCAAAAACGTTCCTTATGGCAGCTCAAACCGATAATTATCGGTATTCCACGAGAAATCTGGATCGGACCGTAGGTTTTGATAAAACACTAAACGGGAGTTTTAATCACAGACACATAGTTAGCCCCACACTAACATTCAAGGATAGAATTCCAAGCGATGCTCGACGTACAGGACAGCCGTCGGTAGGCTCCTTCTAACTTGTTTTATTAGTTTAAATTTTATCGTAGTATGCTGGTGAAAATTAGGCTAGGGTCTCATGGTACAGACTTAAAGAAGTTGTGTGTAGCACAACCATAAATATCACTATTACCTTAACTGTTGACGAAGGACCGAAAAACTCAATATGTTTCCTGAACTAAAAATTTTTAGGGGGATGTTTTGCTAATTGGGCCTTTGCGAATGAGGTGGTTAATTAATGACTCAAAATGTTATTGTTTTTCTTCGGCGATATGTATTTTGGAAACGTTACCAAAACATGATGTCAGTTGCTTCGAAAGGCAGGTGAGGTTCAGCTGTGATCTGATAAGGTGTTATGTTACGTTCTTGTTGAAGAGATGCTCAAGTTATGACGAGGGACTTTAAGATTTTACGAAAATTTATCAAACAAGGTCCTTACGGCAGCTCCAAATGATAATTATCGGTATTCCAAAAGAAATTTGGTTCGAACCGAGGGTTTTGATCAAAAACTTAACAGGAGTTTTAATCAAAGACCTATGGTTAGCCTCTCACTAACATCCATGTTTAGGATTTTAAACGACGTTTCACGTACAGAACAGCCATCGTAGCATAGCCGGAAATTCCGAACCAAAGTGGGTGGTGTTTATTTCTGTCACGCTCCTGCACACATGACAGCCTGTCAAGGGAGCTAGCATGTGATTGGTCCATCTGTTAATATAAACACTTTAGTTAAATCAAACTAGCGTCGCGTGAGAATCTTTCGAACAGCTATTTTATGTTAAATGCTACTTCATCCACGGATGCCGACTTTGTCCAGCCAAAGAAATTAATCTAGAACAGAAGATCGACTTATTGGAAAGTCGAAAGGCTTGTCGAAAGACAGGAAACAGATGAAACGGTAAGTGTTTGGCCGTAGTGCGTGTCTTCGCACGTGATCGCTTGTGTTTATGTATTTTTAACTGAATTCAGTCGAAATCAGCACAAGCTTTTTCTTGCCTTTCATTTAATTAGGTAGAGTACTTGGTGCAATGGAAGAGCTACTTGCCTTACGAAGCCTCGTGGGAGCCAGAGGAGGGTATCTTACCTCGATGCGAGGAACTATTTAACAGGCCAAGCCCAGACGTTGCAATAATTCTAGAAAATGTGTGTTCTTTTAGGGTGGCTGTCGAACGGCACTTGAAATCGTGGTCACTTTTGCCTGCAAGGTTGTTTTTTCGGGAATGTTTTTCGTTTCTTTTTGCTAATAAGGGAGTGTCGAGGGAGAGACGGACATTTTTTGAAAAAGATGATTTCAATGCTGTTTATTTTTCTCTTGGGTGAGATTCCTGGGTGGATTCTCATGGCCAAGGAATGAAGGTTTTTTTACCCTATGACGGTTAAAACGTATATATCTTGGTCCCCAAAGAAGTATGAAATGGGTATGAGTGGGATTTCTACTTTGTTACCAAGGACATATTAGGGGAACATTTCTTTTAATTTTACTAAAGTGGCTCTAAATGATTGAGTCATGAAGAGCTACTGAAATAAAATTAATTGTGGTAATTGAACTGAGCAGAGTGCAATTTGGTCTGTAATCATACAGGTGATTTCAGAATAAAAGAAATATTCTCCTAATATGCTCTTTTCAGATTAAATATAATTATGACTTTTGCATGAGACAGTGGAAAATATTCTACACAAATTTTGAGATGGATATGCCAAGTGTAAGTGGTCAGTAAGAGCATTTAATTTCAGGTGTCATTCAACTCTTTATTAAAAAGGCACAAACGGTTGAAGTGTACTTTCATCTGTGAAAGTGTACACTCAAATCTGTATATTTTTACTAATTGTTGGCTGTGTACATAAATTTTTGTTAGTGTACACTCAAATCTGGTGAGGCACATTGCTTTGTAAGTGAACATACATCTTTGTACGCATACATTTCACCTGCCTCAGTAACTGTTGATTCAACACCGAATGCAAATATGAAAATTTACATAAAAAAGAGTATGCTCTCCACTGTGTTTTTGTCATCATGATGAAGTTATTCATATTTTGATTTTGGGGAAGCCATACTACCATCTTCTGGTTGTGGATTGGGAGGATTTGTAGTTGAGAAGTCTATAGAAAAACCGGCTATCAGTACTGTTAGGGTCTTTGAGTTTCAAAAGCTGTAAATCCAGGCCAATCATTTCTACTAGATCAAGTGCCTTCTGTTCTCGAGTCTTTAGTTCTTTTAAGTTTCTGTTTGTGCTTGTTTTGTTTTGAGGTCTGGAATTCCAGCTCCTCTGTGAATCCCCAAGTTTTCATTCTGTAACCTGTCAATGTACTTAGTTAGTTGTTGATTTTCATTGTTCAGTTTTCTTGTTCTTTCCTTTTCTCTGGCATAATCTTTTTCAATCTCTGAAAGCATTTCTTTGGCCAGTTTCTCCTTTCCTTCCTCAAGATTTCCATATTTTGCTTTCCAGTTACAGATTTCTTTTTCAAGTTTTGACTAAATGGCATACAGATCTACTTCCCACTTCTCTACCGAGATCACTTTACTTTTCCAAATACTCAGCCTACGCAATTTTTCTTCATGTCCCTTTCTGTTTTTACAATTTCCTTTTCTGTTCAGAATGTGATTTGTGATTGAAGCCGCAGAACAGAGCTTTGAAAGTCGGCCTTCAATTCAATCACTCTCTCAACTGATCTTTAACGCATGGCCAGGGATGATTCCATTTAGCGTGTCAATGTATGCAATGCTTGGGGTGTCGTTTTTTGAATTTGTGCCACTGTATGAGCGCGGTATTCTTAATTGCCAGCGAGAACACAACTTCATCACCACCTTCTCGTTGTTTTGTTCGCAAATATATACAAGGAGGATCACGGACCGGGTAGCGATCAGACATATTTCATTCTTGTTTTGTTTTGTTTTTTTTCCGCGGGAAACCAATAAAAATTTTTGAAATTTCCTCGAAAAAGGCATGTTGCACCGAGCCTCCAGCCTCCTATTTACCCCCTGTAGTCACCAGTCTTGGCTGTCATTAAGCTGTTGGTATTAAAATGGCGATCATCTCGACACAGCATTTAGTACGAGCAAGAGAGGCATTCAATACTGTTTTTTCCGCGCAATCGAAGTAAGATTACTGTTCGTGGATGCGTTCGTATTTGCTAAAAGAAGGCTAAAAAAGGCGCAATATTTTCAGGGTTTACAAAGTCCGATTTGTCGTAAATGTGGAATGACACCTTTGAACTTAAATAATTTGATTGGGATGGATCGATACCAGGAGAGAATTTGGGAATTACTACATCACGGGCGACGAGTTGGGGATGAAGAAGAGACCGAAATACGAGTGGCCAGCGGGGAAACAAAACTAATACATCATATAGAGACATATCAGTTATAGTTGCGAAAAACAATAGTGTTGTAAAGCCGAAATATCAACAGTATACTTCGCTAAATAAAATGTCACGCAATTTTTAAAAAGTATTGATGGCACATATATGTTTTCCTGCTGTAATAAACATGGAGGCATCGGAAAAGACATCGGTGGCATTCGGAAAGGCACTAAGAAGAATTATATTTACGTTTTGTAACTTGCAAGAAACAATCGTGTTGTAAAGCCAAAATGTTACCAGGTTGTACTTCGCTGCTTAAAAAGTGAAGCAATTTTCCAAACGCTTTGACTGGAATAATATTTTTACTGCTATATTAACCAACGGAAGCATCGGGAAAGGTATCGGTGACACTGGGAAAGGCATCAAGAAGAATGATATTTACCATATGTAACTTGTTGTACAACGAAAAAAGGTATCTTGACTTGTTTAAGGCGTTAATCACAGTTGGTTTGCTTTTCACTTGAATTTTGTAATCTCGACTTTCGTATCCGGAAAACTGAAAAGCTAAGCAACTCTAAAAAAAATTCCGTCCTAGATTTTTATATTTTTAGAGTCATTAATAAGTTTGTATCCACAGCCTTTAGATAAGAAATTTCAAATTTCCATCAGCTGTAGTTCTTTTAGTGTTTATTATACATATTCAATTGCATCATTCCAGGTGAAAAAGGCATGTGGGAAAACACTGAGCTTAGAGAAACAGCAAAGTTAAGTCTAATGTGTTTACCATGCTTAAATATTGATAATCAGTGCCACTCGTTTAGGAGACCTTTTTTCAAAAGATCCGGACGTTAAAAAAATTCTGTTTTCCGTTCGAAGTGCTTTTTTTCCTATTCAATTTAATAAATAAACTCGGGATGAAAACTTAACTTTCGAACCGAACGGCAGGTAAAATGTTGTGTTGGTGTCTCTGTCCCCCCCACGTCTCTTTGAAAGGTATATCCAGACAACCTGCATGGAAAAACTGACCATAGCTATCGCACCAGATTTTAAAAAAAAAATATTTAAAACTGAACTGGTGAGCAGCGCTCTGCGAAATGTAGTTGTAAAATTTCTTTATTCTCCGGCGCGTTTCGTCTAACTGCCCTAGACTTCTTCGGGGAGTTTTACAAGTTAACACTAAACACCTTTATTTG